GCGTGCGGAATTTGACTAATAAGTCCAAATGTCGTTCAAAGAGCAGCTGTAATCGATCGGAAGGGAGAGTCATTTTTTCGAATCAGCACCTGTGATGAAAATTACTGTATGACTAATGTCCAATGTGGTTCAAGGACACTGATGACAATTTGGATACTGATTGGTTAAATAATTAGACTGGATTTCGTCCAATTACAGAATGACTTTGGATTGTATCTTTTCTTCACCCCGTCGCCAATTGTTATAACGTGAAAATGATGCTGCGGATTAAGGGTAGGGAATTATTGATCGGACCAAAGACGCACAAACACGTAGAACAGCCTAGGGTTCTGATTGGTCTCGCTTCCCTATCTAACCCAGCCAGTTGAGTCCAGAACACAAGTGACAGCCTCGGAGTTATAAATCTTTGTATTTCAAACATACTTTGTTTATATACCAGTCAAGCAGACCACAACGTCCCATAAAATAGAAAATAACATTGTACAATAATGGCCAGTAGGAAAATGACACGTTAAACAAATATTCACCAATAAGATGATATCATTTCATGTCCAAGGATAACATTAGGCTTAACAGGATAATTCTTGGGATACTTTCCTGAATATCCCAACAGTATGCATACGTAGTCGGTGCACTTCCTATCGAGATTGCCGCTGAAGTTGGTGATTTAATCGGTCACGTGCCAGAATCTGAACCATATGATAAGATAAAAGCAGCGGTTATTCAACGCACCACGGTCTCAGATGAGAAAAGGCTACAACAGTTGTTAACATCTTGTGACTTGGGTGATAAAAGACCCTCGCAACTTCTCCGCCACATGAAACAACTCGCCGGTCCATACAAGCTAGACGAAGCCCTCCTAAAGCAAATGTGGTTTCAAAGATTACCGCACAGCGTTCGACAAATTCTCAGTGTTTCAGGGTAATCCATTTTCCATGTTCGCATGGTTATCAACCCAGCTATTTTATTTGGTTACATCGTTTTGTGTTTCATTGTGCAGAACTCTTATTAGTCACGCAAAATTCGAAATATTAGTATGTAATTATTGTCGGTTCAACAACTGTTTTCAGAATTTTCATTTTAAAGTAGGTTTCTTACGTTTTTAAAGAATTAAGTTAACCCCATTCTTACAAGTCGCTTATTACATTGGTGTAAAACGTTTTCAGTGCCAATCATAGTTTGTTTCCTCAACCCTTACTGCTACGTTTAAATTTTGAATCACGGTCACTCGATACGCTATTGACTTACGACACAAATGGCAAGAGAACCTATTGCCACTTTAGGTTCCAAAATTTTATTCTCAAATTACTAGAAACAACAATAAAAATAATTTTAAGGTAAAGTTCGGTATTTAGTTTTGCCGGACAAATTTTACGAAATGCCAATTCAAAACATGGTGGCGGAAAGATGACTTAAATCCACCAATATCTGTAGGGCAGAACATTCTTTTTAATTACGGTTCTTTATGGTCTAGTAGAATGTAACGAGCAAAGGGTACTGATGCTAAATTATTATGCAGACTACCTCTATGAGTCGTGTTTATATCGCTGGATTAGTTTCACTTTCTAAAGAGTAATCTTGTTACAAGCAAAACGAGGCAATTAGCTAAAAACGAAGCCTGCCCATGACCTTGTAAAATCTCTAGAAATAATAAATGAGCTGCAGTAGCTCGGCAAAAAAGAGCGACAGCTGTTTGTGCATCAGAATACTGTTTTCAGCACTATATTTATAAACTACACATAATCTTATACTTTCACCTTATTTTCGAATCACTTACACTTACAATGTTTTATCTATTCATACCCTATTTACGCTTGTTTCCTTTAATCACTAGTGACATTGGACCCCAACCACACGACCTAAAAACACGAGCATATTGTAGCGACCGAACAACGGACTGACGAATCCGAAATTTATTCGATTAGACCAGATCACGTTCCTCTGTATAGCTCACAATGCATTTTCGACATACTCGAATTATATTATATCAAAACACAAACTATATGCTCAATATAGACGGTTCTAATTTAGAAAACAGAACAAATTACATCGAAAATAGAAAATATCTCAAACGGTACAGCCTGTGCTATACAGTCAGAAGTATCTCTGACGCAAAGTAGCGCGCTAAACAATGAAAGAGACAGTTAATACTAAAGAGTTTGATACCTGAGAATCAATACAAATATTCCCAACAAGATGGGATCAAATATTTATCTACAGGGATTCCAGCAATCCTCGCAAGCAGACAGTCCGAAGGTTAACAGTCACACACTGAGCCACGCCGCGACGTTGAGCTTAGTCAAACACGACCTTGCTGTCAATGGTCCGGCAACATACAGAAAAAAATTAGGTGACAAAAGATAAGTCTTTAATCAAAATCAGCCAAGCTATCCATAAATATCTCCACAGTATCATGAGTAAAAGGAAACTTGCGAACGTAAAGGTTTGTGCTCCTAAACGGTGAAATTGAGACCTTATGGACTTAGAGATGAGAGAAATAATTAATGCCAACTTCACGAACCACACAAAATCAGGAAACAACGAACGCAAAATTCCTCTTAACTCGTGTCAGCTTACAGTCTACGGAGTGTCAGGCTAACTTTTAGGTTAGTACTGAGAAAAATAAAATTCCTGTGTCTAGGAAGCTCACCTGGATACGACAACAAGTGATCTTTAATCCTGAAAACGTGAGCGCAAGTCATCAATACACTGCTTCCCGACCTAGTTAAGAACTCTAGAGTCTCACAAACTTCAAACAGAATGGAAACAGACTTCTCACACCACTCTTCAAAGGCTAGGACAGAAAACACAAAGGCTGTTGCAGACCATTAGCGTTACTCCCAATAACATCAAATACAATGGAAGGACTGATCAGCGAACAAATTCAGGAATACATAGGTAAAAATCAGATCCCACAAGAAGCACAACATGGGTTTATATAAGGGAGTTCGTGTGTGCCTTATCTTCCTATAGTATATGACAGCCGGACGATCTGGAGTGACCATAAGATACTGCTCCACATAATATTCCTCGATTTTGCAAAGGCCTTTCACATAGTACCGCATATAAATCCCAAGGCGAAGGTTACAAAGACGGGTTTCACTGACCCACCTATATTCTGGCTCCAAAACTGCCTAGAAAACAGGATACCTCGTACCAAGGTAAAGAGAACGCACACTAGTGAAAGGTCTAAAAGTCAGGAGTTTCACAAGAAACGGTCTCTGGTCCAGTCTGATGGGCTGCACTGATCTATATAGACAACATAAAGATCCAGAGGGCTATAAAAACCAAAATGGTTTTACTGGAGCTTCGAAAAGACCGTACAACAATAGGTGAGTAGAGTGTAGACAATCGGTTAAAATGTAACTCCTCACAATGTCATTTCATGAACATTCTGACTCATTCGACTAAAAGCACTTACACCAAGTTTAGAAATGGGTGACTAAGTGGATGTTAGGTCTAAAAAATTAATCTTACGAGGAGAGACTGCGACACTTGGTATTGTCCTCACTAATCTGCAGGAGAATAGAAGGTACGCTCTCACTTTTATATACAGTGTACGTACGTCCTAAACTTGAGTACTGCATACAAGCGGCTAGCCCCGGTTTTAAAAAAGACAATGAGCTTCTGGAAAAGGTTCAGAGAACGGCAACTAAGCTTATTCCTGAAATAGCGAAGCTTCCGTATGAAGCTCGACTGGCCAAACTGAACCTTTTCCCGTTGTCATATAACAGAACTAAAGGCGACTTGATTACAGTTTTCGAATTGCTTAGTGCCAAATTCGCACCTGATATGCCCTCATATTTCTTGTCTTACAAAACAGAGAATTAACGAAGACACCCCAAAGAAGTTCAAAGCCCAGAACAAATAACTATCGAGTTTCCCATCGAATCATCAACGAGTGGAATTCATTACCTCAGCACGAGGTTGAGGCTCCATCCATCGGCTTTTCCAAAAGAGCGGCCTGCTTGAGCATCTGGGCTACCTGTTCCTGCCATCTAGATATTTCAACAAGTTAATTATTGTTGTTTGTTTTAATATATCATTATGTTTATTAATCGCATAACGTATTCTGCTGCGTTTCTGAAAAGTGTACAACCTTTCGTTGTCAAAGTTACAGAAAACTCAATAAGAGACAATATGGTTGCTGGCAATGTACAACGAAAAGAATGTACATTATTCAGATGTTCATTCACTGAAGTGCTAACATCTAACTGGCGATTCCTCAATATTTATCGCCAGGACCGACCAAGAAGAAAGAAACGGAAACTTGTTGAAATACTTTGCGCTGAGAATTCTATATTGTACCAAAATTATAATATTGAATAAAGCTAATAATAATAAAATAAAAAAAAAGTTAGATCAACTGAGAGACAACCATTGTCAGGACTAACACAAGCCATCAAGCCTCCTGTCCTTTACAAACTGAAACCGAAACACCACATCACATACGAATCCACAAATAGCTACATAACTGACTAGATTTAGTGTGATCAAGTGGTTAGTCTAAGACGCATTGGACATTACCAAATACATAGAACCATACTGAAAAACAAGAAGCATGAGCAGAGAAATCAATTGATTGATACAAGCTCGTGTAGCGTGGCGTCGAGTTGAGATTAACTATGAACACCGCTACCAAGAAACACGTGCCAAGTAAATCAGAAGGCGAAGGTTGAACCTAACCAAATAAATCCATAAAATCCCCGAGAAGCCAAATATCAGAAGGCAGTTAATGGACCAAGTCGAGATATATTTTCTGGCGATATCGTGGTATCGAAAGAATACCGAGATCGTGCCAGGATACAAGCTTGGTTACAGAACGTAACCGAATTCGCGCGAAGTCACAACCAAAGTGTAAACATAAGAATGGAAGCACAATATAGCTGTCATTAGCACAGTCGAACAAAAGCACATTAAAACAAACACTGGTACACTTGGTTATAATAATAATTGCTTATATTAAACCAGTCGTGTTCTCGTGACAAATGTGAGTCACTACACTCGTAACAAAATATTGGATGTCGGGGATGTCAACCTTGGAATACGCGGATTTATGAAAACTACGGGTTATAATATCGCTACTATTTTCGATGCAAAATTCCCAGGAAAGCTTGATGACACCCTAATAAATAGGCTGTGCTTGTCAGTAGTATGTCAGCATGAATTTCACACTGAGTTTTGGTCTACATTGCCGATCAGTGAATGGCATCTTATATCGAAACACGCTTCTCGATGGGACATTGATTGTGATTACACTACTGAATTGCATATCATTCTGAAAGCTGCCGTGTCTCTTTCTTTTCGCTATGGTTTTATTTTCGGAAATGAGGATTTTGGCCCCCATCAGATCGTATTGTATGCTCTCAATGTATCCAACAAAAATGTTGATATTACACTCACTGAAGCCTTGGCTAATTGTTTAAAAAGTCTTCGTTCTCTCACAGACATTAGTTCTGTATCTTGGATCAAGTCTCCAAAGGTCTTAACACTTCTTCAAGGTCTCTCTAGGGAAACAAATGTTCATGTTTTCAGAAATACCGTTATCATATGTGCATTTATTTTTCTTCATCTTCTTGTAGATGACAAGCTTGATGCTAGCCAAAAGCCTTTCAATGAATGTTTTCAGCTGTCAGCTTTTGGTACTGAAGTTTTGTTCCTAATTGCAGAATTGATTAAGAAGTTTAATATAGAATTTGATACTTTGCAAATACCGGATACATTTCAATTTAGCGTGACTACTTTTGATTCATTTCCCTCAGAACTACAAGCTAAGTTGCTCTTTTTGGTTTTCACTCGTATTGTGAGCTCACCATCAACCAACAGTGATTGGGTTTCATATTTGAAGTCTTTACGTAACTTCCCTGAGCTATGTGCCTCGATAATCAGCTTTTGTTTAAAATCCAATAAGGAACTGTGTAATGAGATGTGGAAATTTGTCATAGATGAATGGTCTATTTCTTTGCATACGTGTTTGGAAAACGATGAAGTTGATAGTCTACTTCGTATTATAAACCCAGTTTGTCTGTATACAAATGCTTCGCTCCATATGGAATCTGGAAATGACTTATTAAAGAAAATTCTGTCTGTCGTTATGAAAAACTCAAATTCTGTTAAAGGAAATAAAGTAGACAAGTACCATGCAAGGTTGTGGGTCTTGTCGAGAATTCTAGTCCATTGTTCACCATCTTCAATAGTTTCATTGTCGGATGTAACTGATGTCGCGGACTACTTAGTATCTTGTTGTAGCAATTCTTTTTCCAATCCCATGACTTCTAGTATAGATGCCGCGTTTAACTTTTTTGAAGAAGTTTGTCTTCTCTACTGGAGCTCAAAACAGTCAGTAATTGATAAACTGATTTTTAAACTCTTTGGTTCACTTTTGACCACAGATAATCCAAGGATTTTTTCCACCTTCTCATTTCATTTTATTCACCTTATCGAAGAATTGTCTTATAAATACAACTGTCTAGAGGTATATAGTACATTTTGGATTTGCCTTTTCAAACTACTGAACAAAGTAAATGATCAGATACTAAACCAATCTCCCATGTTTGATGTGTTTAATAATGAAGGATTACTGGATGTAGCTGTTGCAATTTTAAAAATTCTTAGTCGCGAAACATATATATTATTGTGGACAGGTGAATGTAAACTGTTATTTTCTATGTTTGTTGATAGTCTCATGTCGAGACTTGGTGTCGGTAATTTTATAAACGATGCTTCCTTTCGTGGGCTTTCCCTTTCAACCTTCATTATCTTCATCGTCTGTGAGTATCATAATAATCACACAAGTCCCCATTCAAAGGATCAGAATCGTTCACTTGAATGGGCTTATAGATCATATGATTATCTTGTAAATTTTGACTTAATGGAATTGACAGAATCAAAGTGTGTTTCCAAAACACTGTGGAATACCGTCAAATATCTTGAGAAAGTAAGTTTATTGACATCTCTTACTCTGCTTGCTTGTTGATACAGCACAATATTAAGTTATCTTCAGTTGGGTAGGGAGTTGATCAAGAGAATTTATTTAAAATACCAAAATTTCAGTCCACATGACACTTCTGTTACGTCCTGTTTTTTTGGCGTTTTGTACATATAACCACAGCGCAAATCCATAAGATTAGTTGAAGAAGTTGCTATGGATGCACAGTAAGCTTGTACAATTAATTTGGCATGTTTTTCTGCAACGCCCAAGTAATAATATATCTAATTCAGAATCTTGTAAACAGTATCACAGATTTGTAAAGCGGTGACCCATCATTTTGGTCGTCCGACTTTCAAGTAACCGTTAACAGACGGAAAATTTAATCCGCAGAGCAGTATTTGTAACAATTAGTTCATCAACTAAGTATAGACTCGTTTACTTGGTTTTGAACCACATCCATTATATTCAGGTTAGTGATACTACGCAGTTGGCCAAACCCAAGTGTGTGAATGAGGTTCAATTCAGCGAGATCACGCCTTAAACTTGAACCTCTTGATAACTAATTCACTGTTCCACAACAACATTTAATAGTGTAGTAGTTAGCTTCACTGGATCTTATATCGTATTTATAAATTTTAATTTAACACGAAAACTTATTGTATTTGCATATATATGTAACACTAGGATTGGTTATGTACTGCATTTTTTAGCGTCTTTAACACTCAGTTTTGCTATCTCGTCATATTCCTTTCGGAGATACCCATGCCCTTGACTTACGGAAGACCGATTGTTATCAACTGTTAACCTATGTGCTCTGTATATACCTAAACATATATAATAGATTGACGCATTCAACATGTACTGAGGTATGAATCGTACTCTAGGTGTGAGGGCTAATAGTACCACAAAGTCGCCAAAACCGAAGTGGATAAGCGGAGTTCGAATGTGGGGTTGTGTCTGTAATTCTAAGGTCTTAACCACTAAATCAGCACTCCGTATGCTTAAGCTTCCTGAAGCTTTGTTAGTTTTGATTTTATTACAGATCAAATTTCGTCTTTTTGTATTTCCTCGTGAAAGATTGGAATGATGTTCACAACGCATATTTCAACTGTTTCAGTTTCTTAGGGTTTGAGAATTTCGTCGATTAGTGTACTGCTCCCACTTGAACTTCCACAAATAGTCTATTGTTGATTCGAAAACACGCAACTGTTCCTTAGGGGATAAAAAGTTAAATACCTCAAATCTTTTTACGTTGATACTAAAAATCCGAAATTTAAGATGTAGTTTTCAAATGTTCCATTAATACATAATCAATGTCTACTTTCTTGTCAAAAGAAACTGGACTCATAGGTTTAATGATTTTTTTGTTTCTGAAAATTTTACCACTTTCTATGTATGAAGATGATTCTCCTGATCTAGACAAAAAATAGGCATCGAATTATTTTATGCATCTTCATAAATACATATTTGCTACAGTTCTCTAGTCATGCACTGAATCAGTTAGTAGCTTCAGTAAACCACATCTGTTGTTCTACTATTTGTCCGATGAATATGGTAACTAAGCTACTTATGTTTTTTGTAAAGCTTAAAAACCTGGGAGGTTTTTAAAATGTTGAGGACTGTTCTTAGAAAAAAATACATTAAAGTTCTTTTCAAATGAAGACCATGTGGACTGCAATGACGATTAAAAGCGAAGACGACAGACAACCTCTTGTGTTATTGAGAATATCGAATATCTTTAACCTTTTGGGTTTTTCAATCGCTGATTTACTGCCTGAATATCTGCTGACGAATTCGATTTGCGAGAATCGTTTGTTTATATAGTTGTAGCAAAGTATGAGACGACGAGAAAGCCTGTGATTCTGATTGTTATAGACTTTCTAAGGTGTTTTGATTATTGGAAGGGAGGTTGAAACGAAGATATTACCAGTTATGGGAAGTATTTTCAGAGGAAAAAGAATATTATTGTGCCTTTGTTTCTTAGGCAAAGCTTACATAACGTCATAAGCAAAGATGGATGGTGGCTAGCAGTGGAATCTAAGACGCACATTTCATCCTATTTTCGACTCGTCAGCCGGATATACCTGCATCCCAGTGAACTTCAACTCTGTAATGTAGGCACATCCAGCTGGTGAGTCCCAAATAAGACGAAACGCGCATCCTGGATTCCACTGCTAGCCACCATCCATCTTCACTTATAATGCTTGTGACTTAAGGCGATACGCGTAGTATGCACATATGCCAATAAGAGACTAATCATTTGCAGCCCTCAATATCAATGGGAGGATTCAACCAAACATTACCAAGTGAATTTACATAACGTCAGTTTATACATTTATTGGACAAATTATATTGCCAGTAAAACTCGGTTAATTAAATGTTTTCAAACTATAAATTTGTGGCTTGTCATCAATAATGTATTGTATTGTAACATTGATATCTTCCATATTGTATCAATTCCCAATGTTTCACAATGTCTAATTTAATTTCTATTTAAGGAATCTGAAGAATATCCGATTGATCTATGGAAAAATATTCTTTCATCAATTACAATGAAATGGAAGACAGATCTTGGTGAAGAGTACTTTTTATCTATACAAGAATTACCTCTCCTAAATTATTGTCCTAATTGTAAAGAGAATATTGAAGAATTATTAGATGATATAATTATTTCAAGTACCAGTAATATGACCGCTGATTGTACAGAAGGTTAATTTTTCCCAAGCGGACAAATATTATCTTGGTGTATATCTCGAAAGCATATATATATATATATATATATATATATATATATATATATATATATATATATATATATATATATATATATAGTTCAAGAGTAATATACTTGTTCTGTTATTTACTTAACGTAAAGAATTTCGTGGTTTATAAAGATACTGAAATTGAGTGCAATTTATTTTCACTAACTTGGGTTCTGGCATCAATATTAGTCGTTCCTAACTGTTACAACTTACATTGTCATTATGTGTTTATGTGTCGGAGAGAAAATTAGCAAGTGAAAAGAAATGATAGTATCAGCAATGATATAAATTGAAGTATAGAGAAATATAGTGTAAAAAAGTAAATGAGATCATAAGGTGACGAGATAAGGAAATGAGATTTAGTGCAAAATAAATCACAGTGGCGCAGTTGGATTAATTCTCTATCTTCTTCTTCTTCTTCTAAATTCTGAACTATGTAATCTGGTATCTCTAACAATAGGTTGGAACTGTTTTGTGAGTCTTAAACTAGGTGTGTGTTAAAGTGATTTAGTTTGGTGATGTGTTGTATTTCATTTTACTCAATTATTCGTTTTAATCTGGCTACCGATTTTTCAAGTAGGCAAAGATAAGAATATGTTACGATGCAAAGTGATAACAATGTATATGACAGTGCAAAAAAAAGTAAACAGCAAACCCAATTCATTTTATGAAGTTGTATAATAATAGTATTAAAGTAGGTTTGAATATGGGATAAATATACTTACTTACTTTACTTACGCCTGTTACTCCCAATGGAGCATAGGCCGCCGACCAGCATTCTCCAACCCACTCTGTCCTGGGCCTTCTTTTCTAGTTCCATCCAATTGTTCATTTTTCTCATGTCTATTTCCATTTCTCGGCGTAATGTGTTCTTTGGTCTTCCTCTTTTCCTTTTGTCTTGAGGACTCCATGTGAGGACTTGTCTTGTGACGCAGTTGGGTGCTTTCCTCAATGTGTGTCCTATCCACTTCCAGCGCTTCTTCCTGATTTCTTCCTCCGCTGAGATCTGGTTTGTCGTTTCCAACAGTTGGTTGTTGCTAATAGTGTCCGGTCAACAAATCCGAAGTATTTTGTATAGATAACTGTTAGTAAACACATGTATCTTCTGGATGATGGCTTTCGTAGTTCTACAAGTTTCCACCACATACAGTAGAACTGTCTTGACATTTGTATTGAAAATCCTGACCTTGGTGTTGGTTGACAGTTGCTTTCAGTTCCAGATGTTCTTCACTTGTAAATATACTGCTCTTGCTTTACCGATCCGCGCGTTCACATCTGCATCAGACCCACCCTGTTCATCAATGATGCTGCCCAAATATGTAAAGGTTTTTACATCTTCCAAACCAAAATATGCCAATCTGCTCACTGAATCGTTGATTGTTGAACTGAGGTGTTGAAGGGTATAGATTTATTGCTTTTAAAGTTTGAGTGACATAGATCAAGATTAATCTCAGTAGTATGTATGTACTCTTTCCTTGTTTGACTACTGATTTTAAATTTCAATATCATTTCATAAATCTACCTACTGATTTTATTTTTACCTTTCAAGCTGTAATTTATACGCCTTGTGTCTTTCCACCACTAATGTTGTAACATCTCTGGACGATGTGGATTTTTGCCGTCCTACATCTAAACCTGAGTGAGTGGTGAAGTTAAGTGAGTAAAATATTGAATAGATGGCGGCATTGAGTCTGTTGGTTATTCTCACAACAGATGTACTTGTTGATCTCCATAGAAAATGGCGTACACTAATATTTAAACTACTGACCATATGTTTGTTGTTTCAGTCAGTCAGTAACAACGTAGAACTTAGTACGTACGTACATCAGTTCGAGTTGCCATACCACATTAGCACACAAATACGATTGTCAATTCAAATCCCATAGTGGTAGAGGTAGCAAAAGTATAAGCAGTAGTCAGAAAGATTAGACTTTGAATATATTATTCAAGGAGTATAATCCAATGAAATAAGTTTGAAAAGAGAAAAGGGATATGAAGAATTCAGAAGATTAGAATTTGGGAGAACACAAAAATTGGATACACTTGCGTCATTGTAAACGATTTTGAGCCACATCATGCAATGTCTCTAACCATCGGTTGCTATCATCTCGCGGATCCCAATCAGGTAGTCTACACCTACCAACATGGCTTAGTTCACTTGTCAGTGACTTCATGGATTTGTACCATGTTTTGGTCTGGCCGCCCCTAGCTTTCTTCCAATCTACTCCTACACCATAAGATATCGCACGTCGGTGCAGTCGGTGGTTGGGCATACGTAACACATCCCAGCCATGTTTGTTGTTTAATTTAAGGTGAAAAAATCAAAGACCTCTATTTAGTTAATTTGAACTGACTCTTTTTAAACAGTGGAATATCAGTTAAAAGAGACAAAAAAACGTAAATCATTAGGAAGATCCTGATGGTATTATCATCCAAACTTTTCAGACCTTTCCAATTGTTTTATTGAGTCATAACTTTGCAGAAATTGTATAGATTTTACTATCTCGCTTGAAAATCGAGTAACGTTTAAACTCATCCAAGAGGTACACATTGATAGTTGATAAAGTGATCAGCTTACAAAGGGAGAATGCAAATAATTTCATGGAGTAAGATTATGACATATCCATGTTTTTTTTTCAATCAAAAAGATGTAAATCCCAAACAAACAGGGGGATAGATAATCGTCAAGTGAAGTTTTCCTAAATGGAGAAGATGAAACACTGATTAACAATTAACAATAGGGAAGTTGTTTGGAATACTAATATTATGTGGGAGGAGATTAAAGTAGTTGCAAATTGGAAACTAGTTTTTCTTTTTGTCTATTTCTCTATCATTCAAGTTTCCACCTCATAAATATTTTCAAGTAGGATGTTTTTGCGGGACATCCAACCGTTGTCCAAGGGCATTAGATAAATAATCCAAAATGTATCCGACATCGAATAGTTCCTAATAGGGTGAACTTATATTCTTCTCTTCTAATAAAACATACTGGTAGGCACTCTTTGTTTAATGGGCATCTTAGTTATAAATGAGTGGATTGGTACACTAGTAGGGACGGATTTAAAATGGACAGCACACGGATTGACGTAAAATATAATTAATTCCACCTTATACCTTATATCTTATGGATCTAGAAGAATATTAAAAGATAGCAGATTTCACCGTAACTACAGAGAATTATAATTGATTAATATATGTAAATGCTTTGAATTAGGTTTGATAAATGAGTGGATCGTGTACACTAGTTGGTCCAACAGTAGGATGGATTGTCCATTCAAATTACTCAAACCACTTAGCAGTATTAATCATGATGTGAAGCGGGAAATGTTTTTTAATCTTATTAGTCAACAACTCAAGATGCTGGTTACGACTGTATCCATTTAATGTGAATACAATAAAGTACGATTTACTGTTAATCAAACATCTATGTCATAATCTTGTTAAAAATAATGGTACATATATGAAATAATATGTTATTTAGATGAAGTTTTGTTCTCTGAGCTGGTTGGTTTGGTCAGTCAGTCAGCTACAACGTAGGACCAGGCACATATATGCATCGGTCCAGGTTGCCATACCTCATTAACACAACAAAATGAACACCGGGTTCATAAAAGTAGGTAATTCAGTGGTGGTAATATATGAAAGAAAGATTGCATATAAGGATATAGTACAGGAAGAAAGAATTAGTTCGTAGAAAGAAAGATATGAAGCGATTGTGTATACACCGACACCATTATAATCGATTCTGGGCCATGTCACCAGGAGTCTCCAACCGTTGGTTACGATAGTCACGCAGACCCCAACCAAGTAGTCTGCATCTCCCAACATGGCTCAGACTAGAAGTTAGTGACTTCAAGAGCTGATGCCAAGTTTTGGTTTGGCCGCCCCTAACTTTCTTCCAACCATCTTCAATACCAGTTTGCATTGCACGTCGTGGTAGTCGGTGTTCAGGCATATGTAACACGTGGCTCAACCATCTCAGTCGATGAAGATTCACAACCTCATCAACTGATTTACCGTCATCATTCCCTAATACCCTGTGTCTAACCTTACTATTACTTATCCGGTAATCCCAGCAGACGCCAGTAATATTTCTAAGGCATCTGTGGTCATGGAACTTTCATAAGTTTCTAAAGTATTGTGATATGTCAAATCTTCAGTTATACTTATAGGTGTGGATTGGTGCAGGAATATATTAATTAGTGTAAATTATTTATTTGAAGTTAGATTACATTTATTACTTATGTAACAGTATGATGATC